AGATATGTCTCTTGGGGAGTATAAATTCGGAAATATTATAAATATAACTGTTATTATAGTCACTAACACAAATCATACATTTTTTAGTAAACGCTATCTAAGTGTATTGATTCTAGAAATTGAAATTGAAATAGAAGCATAAGATAACATTTGTGGTTACATTTGATTTTTTGTATTTCCATATTTATGATTCATCCATTGTGCATAGTGAACTTAATTTTCATATATTACAGATCTACCTGATTTGTGATATGGGGACAGTTATTACAATGGATTTGAATAAGCTAGACAATTTCAATGTTAGTTTTTAAATTCCCACGGTTTTTTCCTTTGAGGATTGAAATTATTTAGTCCCCAATAGTATATGACCATCCTGACTGAATTCCTTTGATAGTACCTTTATTTTAGTATATTTTGAACTTAGAATAGAAATGAGAACTGCCACTCGTGTTTTATGCTACTTAGGACTCGAACCCAATGTTTATTGTTTTAATCTTTATTAAATTGTCCTCTACGTTTTTGAGGATACATAGCTACTATGTATTTATACGTTCTGTTTGGATATTGATTATATATATTTTTAATCAGTTATTTCCTTCTCATGGCTATGTGGTATTTACAGTCATACTGATTATCACTTTGAATGATGGATCACCTTCAACTATCCATAAAGCAAATATAAGTAACAGTGTTTTCTCCAAAAGTCATTAGCCTATTTACAGTTATTGTGTCATTTGGTGCCCCACTGTGATCCTGATATGTAAGCTTTCTATACACAAGCACAATCAGCCTCAAGGGTGAAAAGACCAAGAGTACGAAGGGAGTTTTGATTGGTGAACCAAATCGGGTATGAATGTAAACATATATATAAAACCCTAGAAAATTAGGCGAAAAATAGTTTGTCTCATACCTTAGAAACAGTCACCTGCTACGAATACTATGTCTGAGCGTCCAGCTTTATGAAGAAGTTCGGAAAGTTTTTTGTAAAAATCATCTTTCACTTCACCCAGGTTACAGTCAGTGAGAGTGTAGGCAGAAATGACGAAAAGGCAACTACGTTTATCCCTATCCTTCCGAGTTCCTACGGAGCCGTTTAGCCGGACAGCATATAGGCGATTGTTAACAGGGATCCTATCCAAAAGTATTTGTTCTACCCTTGCACTCAGTGCTATGCCTACACCCGCCAGTTCACGAGAACTAGCCATCGGGTCGTCAGACAAACGGAGGGTGTATCTCGTCGGCTTTCCCTTTTGGCGAAGTGAGGTCAAGTGAGTGACCACACTGGGATCCTGTATGCGTGTTTCGGAGACACAGCATACATCAGTGGTATGAGATTCTAGGGTTTTAGCCAAGGAGGCCTTCTGGCCTATTTCATACAGAGTACGTACGTTGAAGGCTCCAATGTGTAGTTTGGAGAGAGGTTTCAGTAGACCTGAGACAGTGTTTCGCGCAGTAGAATCGTTGGCCATGGTGACACTTGAGGAGGAAGTCAGAAGAGGAAGTTTAGAGTTGAAAGTCAAGGTAGGAGTAATAATTGATTATGAATAGTCATCTTGAGTGCTATTAGAGGTATGAGGACGATTATCACTTTCCGGTCGCCCAAACCTTTATCCAAGCCATCTCTACCTGACCAACTGAAATTCATTTAATTTGCTAGCACTACTCACAGTTTATGCTAAATAAATGACCTCTCTATTTGATCATTTATCGAAAGTTTTTATAAAATTGATTACAACTATCATTGTGCAATTCACTATCGATCTATTTTAACACCATTCTAATATGTAACGACATTATTAACCCAAATTTTACGATTACAACCTTACCAGCCCACTAATAATTTTATTTAAAAAAACAACATTAAATTACGGAATACTATAGTTGATATTGATATTATATTCAAATATCAAAACCTACGAATTCATCTAAGGGAGTTATGATTAGGAACTAATTGAAAAGAGAAACATTTCTTTATTGAATATGTAATTTAAATATCAGTTATCCAATTGTCTGCTGGGACATTGTAGCGAGTTAAACTATCTGCTTCTCGTTTCGATTTCAGGATTGTATTAATCTGAGGCTTGTATTATTTCTGATTGCTGTCTATTATTTTCCTGATTAGATGTAAGTGCATTCACTGTGTCGTCGACTCACCTTTTCTTTGGCTCTTCTCTTTTACAGTCCTCACTCATTCTAGTCTGTATGCTTCCCTGATGCACAAAGAACTTTCTGGCTAGACGCTATAAAATCCAGTGAACATAAACAAATTCAAATTATTCACCTAGGCTCCAGTAAATTTACTGTTGAGAAATTTCTATTTTCAAACTTAAAACATCTGAAAGAATATTTAAAAGGGAAACTTTTGAACAAAACGTTTGTTTGATATAATGATATTTAAAGAAAAATAAATACCTATAGTCATGTAGTTAGGAAATTTTTACACCTGGTGAGTTCGATAAAGACTGAAATACCGATTTTTGTCTATAAATAAACAGACTGATGGGTAGATGGATATTTTACCACTGACTGGTGTGCAAGGATTGAGTCTGATACTTGTAATAAACTCTAGTTCAGACCATTTTGTTGCCGAGTCTACATATGAGACTTAATGTTGGATAGAATCAAAGCAATTATTTGTAAACTTCATCGCTAGTGATTTAGACAAAATTAATTGATGTGAAATTACACGGGCGCTTTGTTTATTGTTTGAGTTATTCAAACCAGAAATATTGTAGCATTTATTTTCGTTAATCAGTAAGTCATTTTGTAGAATATTGGTTTTCTAAGCTGTTATTCATGCAAAGTAGATCACATTTTCTACATAAAATCTTTTGGTTTTTAAAAGAAACCGCATTGGGATTTAAAACGTTAATTCTACCAGGACGAGATATTTCCCTGAACCAGTGTACTTCTATAAAAACCCAATTTCCTCTAAAGAGTAGATTGCCATTTTTCTTCTGGATGGTTGATTTCAGTAATAGTTAAATGAAAGACTAATCAATAGGTGCCCTTCAGTTGGGATACCATTAGAAACCCGGGAGGTCTGGAGAGCTATTCCGTCCTGGTATGCGTTGGGATGTTATATTCTCAAAGTACAAGAGTTATAGTTGTGATCGCATCCAATATCAGTACGGAACTCCTTCGCAGTGTGCACCTATGACCTCGGCTGAGATCGAACCCCAAAACTTCAGGTCTGATGGCTGGTTTACCTAATAATAATCTTACTTATTAAACTATGAAATACTGGAGAATTCGTACCCTCAAGGGCTAAAATGTATTCAACACTATGAGTGCCTAAACAGAAGCAAATAATTCTCTCCAGGAATAACTGTTCGATCTTTTAACCTAAAAGCAACTTTAAAAGATACAACCTACTGTTAGCGCTTTATTACTGAGAATTTGCATTGAAAAACTTCACACATGTATATTTTGTATGACATTCCTAACCCTAAGCTTATACGAAGTTAGACGGTAATACATTTAACTTTGGTGAGTCTTTAATTCCTCTGAATGAGAATTTCCTATAGATTCTTGGTTCCAGTCAAACCACCTCATAAACAACATATGGAACAAAAGATGTGATTCTCATTTCATACACATAAAGTTCGGTTTAATTTGTAAATTCTTCTACTTTAAAATATGAGCTGCAACGGAATACTTTTCCAGTGGCTTATCTTCAGCAACAACTGTATCAAATAACGTTTTTTCCCGAGACCACCCATGAAACTAGGGTAAAGTTGTAACTATAAAACTATTATTTATTGATACCAACTTACGTCACCTATGGCGAAGGTGAGATATCCGTCCATCAATTAAAGAACGAGTATATTGCGCAGCAGTTCGTTCTGTTTTAATGTACGGCTGAGAAAAGTAGCTATTAAGAGTAGAGGATAGTCGTAGGTTACTAATATTTGATCACAGATCTCTTAAGAATATTGCTGGCATCTTCTGGGATTACCGGGCAATTAACAGTGAGGTTAGACGCAGGGTACTAGGGAATGGTGGTAAATCAGTGTATGAGATTGTGAATCTTCATTGAATGAGATGGGTAGGCCATGTGTTGCGTATGCGTGGATACCGATTACCACGATGCGCAATGCTGACAAGTGTTGGGGATGGTTGAAAGAGTTAGGGATGGCCAGAATAAAACGTGGCATCAGTCATTGAAGTCACTAACTTCCGGTATGAGCCATGTTTGTAGATGCAGACTACTTGATTGGAGTTCGCGCGACTATCGTAACCAATGATTAGAGACTCTGGGTGATATGGGTGAATCGATCACAATGGTGTAGGTGTATACACTCTTCGTTTTCCTTTAAACCATGAGATTAAAATTGCTTCATTTCTTTCTTTCTACGAACTAATTATTTATTGACGTACTTTATCCCTATAAGCAATCTTTCTTTCATATACTACTACCAGTGAAGTAATTACTCATATTGATTTGGTGTTCATCTTGTTGTGCTAATGAGGTGTTGCAACTTAAACCGATGTATACATATGCCTGGTCCTACGTTGTAGCTGACAGACTGATTATTCATTGAATTGTCTTTTAGTATGGGGAGTATATGAAACAGCTCAAGACTTCACAACAGTTAATGAAATTTTATATGTACGTACACAGAAAGTCATTATTGGTTAAGTAAAGATTATTTTGATCACTAAATATATTTATTAGTCTATCAAAAATTTTATTGAAAGTAGTATTTGTAACGATAATCGGGAACATCTGAGTAAGCATTCAGAACGGAAGTTTTCTTGTTTTATATATATCAGATAATTGTAAAAGTATGCACAATTAGAATAAAAATGATTAAGACGGGTGATATTCAACAACAACAACAACAACAACACAAAAGGCAAATAAAAATGACGTTTTCTGTAAATTGTTTACCAGTTTTATCTTGGTTGATAGTTGAATAGATCGAGGAAGAATAATTTAGAAAAAGGAAATGTGATAAGTATCGATCTAATAGTACAAAAGACAAACAAATGGTAAACTAAACAAGAGACTGTACACAAAATGTTGAGCATTTTAAGCGGTCCCATAAGAAGAATTGTGAAACAGATTTGCCAAAACCATGACTAGAAATCATTTCATATATCTCAGATGAATTTAAATTTACAGGGTGGAATGTGTAAACTTTCTTTAAATGCATTGGTACATGTAATAACTTTTTAAGTATTATTCCCAGGTAGACATCATCAAACCGAAGATATTTTGTATAACGCATAGCTACATTTAATTCACGTGCCAAATTCATTGATAAAAAAAAATTACCTCCTGCCACATATGGAGGATAATAACGTGGAGCATATTCTTTATCATCAACTAACCACTTTTCGTGACTGACAATATTCTTACGAACTGGTCCTGCATTATACCAGACATAACCACTGATCAAAAGTTTACGCAGCTCTGTGCTTAAACCTTCAATATAAGCAACCACATTTTTTGGATAGATAAAATAATCATCATCAACAAACATAATAATTGGGACATTTGGACAATATTTTACTGCCCAATTAATACCAAACATAATTTTATATGTACTATTATAATAGTGATCAAGAAAATCTTGTTGAATTATATCATGATATGCATAGGATTCATTTTTTAATATGTATATTAAACGTTCATTATTAGATGGGACATTACCAAGAAGGAAAAGATGTATGACACGACGTCCACCCCAACAATGATCATTACCCCATGTTAAACGTATTGCATCTCTGCGTAAAAAATTTGATGGAGCAGATTTGATGAGAATAATTAGTTCTGGAGCTTTTCCTGTTTCTAAGAGAATGTTTCTACACTTTTGATGCTCACTCATAAGTATTGGAAATTTTGGATCATTTATTGGACGAGATGTTACAGTCATGTTTGAAAGAACCTGTCCAACTAGTTTTGGCATATCTATCACCATTGGATACTCCAAATCATCAGAACCAGAAGAAAAGACAGGATTTATGAATATTCGATGTGTGTTATTAGATGTTGACAAATCGTACTGTCCTTTTGAAAAAGTAGGACCAAAACTCCAGTCACGAGTTAATGTGATATTTCCAGGGATCATGTTTACATAAGGTATATCAATTGACTTGGGAACATTCTTGGCTACAGATGAATAATTATATATGATGATTACCGGTTGAAGTATTAACGTGGCAGTGAACAGCGTAGCAGCAACTGTTACTACACTTAGTCTGCACGTTAGAATCCTAATACGACTCATTATGATCCTATACATAAAAAAATAGCAGGAGTTTGGTAAATTAACAGCTTGAAGTAAATGGGAATAGATTATTAGCAGTTTGGAAGACAGACAACTTGTTACCAGGTATAGACCTTAATTCTTTCAGTTCATTGCTGTGAAATGTACGCGTAGTGTGAATAACGAAGCGGTAGTTCAGTGGTTAGATCACCTGGCTTTTAACCATCAGTCTACAGGTTATAATTCCATATACCGATTTCCTTTTGGATATCTGAGTAATATTGTTACTGCTCACACTCAAATATAGCCAAGCACATAAACTAGCACTTAGTAAATAAGTTACAATGTTATGCTGCAAATAAAACTGATTATTGATATGAAGCAGGAAAGAGCAACATTATTAATGCATTCGATATGATAATCGTTCGGTTTAACATTCGATAATTTCAGTGCGTCATTCTATTGTATCCTGATAATTCCTGTTATGCATTCACTCGGTTTTGAAATTTGTTCAACATGAATTTAAATTCGCTTTTCCGTAATAAATATTTAAAAGTAATCAATAACCCGTGAGAAAATTTATGTATAAACAGTGGTTGTTTTTCACACAATATATATTCTTCGAAGTTGTAGGATAGGGTTGCTTTCCTTTTGCCTTCCCAATAGTTATCGCCTAGGTTATGGACATCAAAGGCAGTATTAAAGAAAAATCCTATGCATTTACTGATTAAGTCAAATCTTGAGTTACTATTGCGTTAATCTTTGAAATTGCGTAGCAGCAAGTACAATATAGCTATTGTCCTATTACATTTGAGTCAATTTAGAAGTTATGAATTTTCCAGGGTGAATCTCCGGGGTAATAGCAATTAAGGAGGAAAGACACGAAAAAACAGAACACGGTTGTTCTTTAGAACTTTAGGATCTCATTCTTTTATTTGATTGCATTTTTAAGAACTTCAAGTCAAACTTCATATACTTACATCGCAAACTGATCTTTAATGGATTTCTGCGACTTACACAACTACACTTAGTGTTTATTTATTTATTTGAACACATAAATATTGGTACAGGGGGGCACCAAATATATATGCGCCACACAAAACAATGATAATTTGAAGAGAAGGAGAAAAGAGAAAAAAAAGTAATGAACGTGGGGAATTATAAAAAAAGGGAGAGAGAACAATGGTGGGGGAAACGGAAAGGTACAATCAGAAGAGATCTTTCAGTTAAGGAAGATACAACCACTTTTTATAAAGAAAGTAAAAGGTTACAGCAGGATCGCCATTGGCTTCTATTCTGAGCCATATCTGATAACGTCTCTAGCCACTGCGTTACACCGTCTCTCGGACCCCAGCCAGGGAGTCGTGAAGGACCAACAGAAGCTAGCCCTTTGCAGTTTTCTTTCATACCACGACACCATGTCATATACTGACCACCTCTCCGCTTTTTCCAACCAGTCCCAGAGTCGGCAAATAATGCACGACGAGGAATTCTCTGGGACGACATTCGTAGAACATGTCCAAGCCACCGAAGTCGGTGTTTCAAGATGGTGACACCAATTTCATTATCGTCTCTGTGACCGAACACACGATGCCGGACCTCTGCATTACTGACATAATGTTGCCACTGGATGCCAGCAATCCTTCGGAGACAACGATGATCAAACACAGAGAGTCGTCTAACATCCTCAACTCGGAGAGGCCAGGTTTCACAAGCATAGAGCAAAACTGCTCTCACCGACGCGTTGTAGATCCGACCTTTGACAGCCAGACTAACAACGCGAAGGCGCCAAAGATGGCCCAGATTGGCATAAGCCGCTCTGGCTTTCACTATACTAGCATTGATCTCATCACTCACACCACCACCAGCACTTATGCAGCTACCTAGATACACAAACTTCTCGACCACTTCAATCTGCTCACCTTGAAGAGTACAGGATTAGAATCCTGCCAGTCTTGTAGGAGTACTTTGCACTTTGAAGGTGCAAAGCACATACCATACCTACGGACACATGGCCAACTGATTAAGTGCGGATTGCATAGCTTGGGCATTCTCGCACAGTAAGACAATATCATCCGCATACTCAAGGTCGAGAAGTCTTTCTCCAGGCAACAGATCCACACCACCATTACTTAAATCCATCAGAGCTGTTTCCAGAATGTCATCGATGGCAAAGTTGAAGAGGAATGGTGAGATTGGGCAACCCTGCCTAACTCCACTGCTTGAATGGAATAATGGAGAAAGGTGGTTGTATGCCCTCACTCTGCCTGAGGTGTTTGTGTATAGGGCTTTTAGGATGTTAATAAACTTCTCAGGCACACCCTTCTTCAATAGACAATCCCAGAGAACAGTTCTGTCCAACGTATCGAAGGCAGCCCTGATATCAAGAAACACTACGATTGTTGGCCTTTGATAAGTATGGCGGTGTTCTAACACTTGGCGGAGGGTGAAGATATGATCAATACATCCTCGACCAGGACGAGACCCAGCCTGCTCCTCGCGAGTCAATCCTTCTCGGGTTCTGAACAACCTACAAAGTATGACGGAAGCCAATAGCTTGGACGCAATCGGAAGTAGACTTATCCCCCGATAGTTGTTACAGGAACGACGTGAACCCTTTTTAAAGATAGGGACAACTATCGACTCATTCCATAACGTTGGTACACTCTCTAGTTCCCAGATCTTTGTAAACAACGTCGTCAGTCCCTTAGTCAGAAAGTCACCACCATCTTTAAAAAGAGCCGGAGGTAAGTCGTCTGGGTCCGGTGATTTGTAACGTTTCAAGAGTTGGAGTTCCTTGCGGACTTCCGCCTTATTGGTGGATCAGTCGTCACCGGCCATGGAGGGCAGGACAGTCTGACCGATGTTGCCGGAGCAGCAGGCCAGTTGAACTGCCCTTCAAAGAATTCTGCCCATCGTCCAAGACGTCGATGGATGTTAGTGATTGGCGTTCCGTCATCCTCGCAGATTGTTTCGCTCACACCAGACTTCTTGCTGCCAGTGGCTCGGATGAGTTGGAAGAGCTTCCGGTAAGTACCAGATGCAGTTGCTGCTTCCAGCTCATTAGCACGCTCCGACCACCAGGCTTCTCGGTCCTTACGCAAGCTTTGCCCGATTTTATTACGTAACATCCTTCGTCTGTGGTCAAACTCACGGTCATCCGGAGTAGACCGACGGGCTTCAATCAGTTGTAAGGAACCAGAAGAAACCCAGTGCTTGTAAGCGGGACGTTTCGCGAACCCACAACAGACTTGACCCGCCATTTTCATGGCGTCATGCAATTGCAACCAATGCTCATCTATACTTTTCGGTGGAATGGTAGCTAGCCTAGAAGCTAGCTCGGTTCGGTACTTACTAGCGACAGGAGTTGCAGCCAGCTTGCTAACATCAATCCTTTGGTGGCGGTCACTTCGTTGTCCACTGAAAAGTAAGGTAAGATTGGCGCAGACCAGAGCATGGTCAGATTCCAGATAGGTACTCCAAAAGGAGCGGCAGTCTTGTACACAACCACGCCAGCGGTAGCTGATCGCGATGTGATCAATCTGTATCCAGGCTTGAGATGTAGAAGGGGGACGCCAGGTGGCACATCGGCGATGACTGTGCCGAAAGCTAGTGCTAGCCAGAAACAGGTTGTGGTCTGTGCATAGTTGCAGTAGACGTTCCCCGTTATCTGTCCTGCGACCAACGAGTCCCCATCGGCCACCTAAACGAATCTCTTCTGTGCCTAGACGCCCGACCTGAGCATTCAAGTCTCCAGCTAGTACTACAATATCTGTCGAGCGCACTTTCTGGAGAACAGTTAAATGGTGGTAGAACTCATCCTTGATTGCATCCGGGCTGAAATCTGTCGGGGCATAGGCGGAGATGACGAAAAGACATCGTTTCTCACGCCGATTTCTTCTCGCTTTGATGGAACTTTCTAATCTAACAGCACACAGTGTGCTTTCAGAAGTGTTTTTTACAGTACTATATATTGAATAAATTAGTGACTCACTAAACATTGATATGCAATCCCGACCCCTACTAACTTAGAACACAGGTTCAAACCCCTTTCTATTTGATTTGACCTAGACAGCAGGGCGATATCAGCAGCATACATACAAAATGAGCAGATTAAACTGTAGGACATTTGCCATAGCCACTAATATTCGGAAAGATAAATAAATAATAAAAAGTTAATTCTCTGCTAGCAAAAGAGATGATGCAATCGAAAATGCATGACTATTTATATGATACTTTGGAGCAACTTTCAAAATTAACAACTAATTGGGTAACCGTAATGAATCACAATTTAGTAGCTATTAACGTTTGCAACTTCGAAACAATGCTTTAATTTTTTTGCTTTAGCATATTCTTCTTGAGTGCTTGACGAAAAACATTTTTTAGCAAGTACTATTGTCAGCAAAATTTTCATGTAGATATATGAAAGTGAGAAACGGAAAAAGTAAGTTCATGCTTTATGACTTTTTATACAACAGCTGGCCAGATCAGAAAGAATGATGTGCAATAGATGGACAGGATAAATGTTAATCCTTTTATATATCAGGAAAGTATGAGTACTACTAAGTGTTGAAGCACAAATAATAAAGTTTTAACCAAATAGGCTTTTCCCTGAAAGTTAGAAACCGCTGTTTTGATCCAATATATTGAGTTGGTCGGGTTATTTTTGGCTGGTATGGTATCTCACCACTGATTTTGACATTCTAATTTTTTTAAATTGAGAATATTATTGGTGACAGTGAGAAACTACACACAAAATATGGGTTTAAACTTACAGACAACGTCTAACAATAAAAAATATTGAATGATACCAAGTACAAATAAGAAATGAATGGGTTTTTGCAACAGGGACTAATTTTGAGCCGTTTCATTTTGTCTTCGATCAGCAGATTTGACGTTCTCAACAAGTACTCTACGTCTATCGTGAGCATTACTCATGCAACGAAATCATATATGAGCTTGTAGCCAGTTTTGATACGAAGTACCCTGAATAACAACCTTTTAATATGCAGATGTAAATT